CTTTCTGCTGATTTTCAACATTGGACGACTAAGCAAAGAAGTGAGACACTGATGCTTAGGCGAGAGGCCAGAGACAAGTGGTGAGAGAACGAAAATATGATAGAACTTCTTAAAAGGCCCGTGGTGCAACCACAGTGACTCCGAATCCCGTTTATCTCGGGTGTTATTTTAGAATTTTTGTTTTTTTTTTCAGGCTACAATTCAGCTCCTAAAGTTCCATGAGTGGGCCCAGACGTCTGGTGCAGTAGCCACTACAAGCAGCTCCGCGTTAAGGCCGGGAAACGAGAGCTAATCCACCTCCGCTCTCCACATGTAGCCACGTGCTGTTTATGCGGAAATTGAGTGGCGTAGTGTGCACTGGGCGCTCCTAGTGATTTAATTTCACGCGCAGTTTAGAATACGGTATCCCGTCTGTTTTCCTGACATATAATTCGGTGCGGAGACTACAGGTTTGGCGTTATATCTTACGTCGGAAAAGAGCAAAGGACCCTCGTATGTGTACGATAAAAACTGGTCTGAAACGTTTTCATGGGCACGAAACAAGCGCATGTTTGACTATCGAGCACAGCAGCGACAGCACTACCGAAACGTGCAACGTGCCCATATTTGGAGCCCTTGGTATGGCAAGACCACTAGAAGTGAACATTAGAAGGAAGAATATGTGAAGGAAGGCAAGCCGACTTCTCTCAACCACCAAAAGCCTCATCTCCCTTCAGGGATCCTGAGCATGACCTCTTTTTCTGGGTCCTGCAACTAATCGGCGACTTTCCCTCATTAACTCAAGCCTAACCTTGAAGCGAATATGAGGAGCAGAGCACACCGACTGTTGACTTTTCTTCAAATTTCCTGTTTCAAGTGCGCTGCGTGCGCTATACAGCCCCCCTCCACCGTTTGGCAGCAGTTTTTGAGGAAAAAAGGAAACCGTAAAGGAGTTCTTGGAAACAGCTCCGGAAATGTGGCAGAAAGTTGGAAAAACTTGGGAATATGGTTGAATGGCGCATGAAGAAATGAGGTCGTATAAAAGTAAAATTTTTGAGGGAGATTCTGTTTACAACATTTTTCCCCAACGGCAGGACGCGTCCTGATCAGGAAACCGAGTTCCACCATTTTTAAGTGCACCAAACTGGCGAGGGAACGTCCATAAATGGCCTCGAGACAAGATAGTAAAAAAAAAACTCATAACGATGGCGACCTTTTAGCAAACTCTGGATGAATTACTGGTCGGGGAGGCTGGGACCTTCAAAATAATCAAATTCCGCTTGACATTTGACATATGATTATGAGAATGACCTAAAAACATTTCCAACTTCCCCCGATGTCAGACGGTTGACCAATGAAACGCGTATCGGCAAAGCAAACAGCTCACAGCACTTTATTGAGCCTAATTGCCATAAGAGATCATATTTCACTTCTTTGTGTGATTTTTTTCGAGCAGACCACCCACTATGTTTTTCCCAACGAACCACGCATAATGTTCAGTTTGATGAGGTTTTCAGCGAATTGGAAAAAAATGACGGGTGTTTTTTGCTCAAGCGCTAGAAGATCGACAGTGATCGCCTTAAAGAGTAGTAGAGGCGAGACCATCTCATTTCCCCGCGTTCTAACCCTAATTTTAGCTCTGGAAAAGCCTGGAGTTTTCAGCCTTGATCAATCGATTTGTGGGATGAGTCATACATTCCACTACCACTCAGAATCGTAGTGTTTTGACGATAATCTTTTCTTCGGCCTCTACCGTAAGTTAAGGGGCAAGCCAGACTAGTCAGTGTCTTTGTCATTCCAGGGGAGTCCAGTACCCCCGCATAGATGTAAGGTTTCGTTGGCCACGGCAATAGCCGATCCGAGGTTTGCCCCGCCCATTGCGCATATGGGTATGCGGCATTACTTCCCACTACACCACTTTTACACACGTTATGGATTACCAGAAAACGGGAATGTGACAAGACAATCGTATTCGCATCGTATTGATGGGCGTCGCACGCGACGTCGCGCCTGCAAATCACGATGTTACTGAGTTGTAGATGGTGACAATAGACAATATATAACCAAAAAAGGTCATCAATGTCTGCATGCAAATTGAGGGAACGCCGCGCGCTATGGAGCGGTAAGTAACGATTGTCTTGATCGACTTCCCCAGGAAACCTAAGCTCTATCTCAACCACATGGGCAGACGATGAAAGGGAGATGCCCAATTCGGAAATCGGAAGAAGAGTGCAGGGCATCGGAAATCGGACCACTGCAAGTTACTTCGCGGACAACGCAAACAAAGTCTCCTGGGACTGGACGCGGACGAAAAGAATCGCAGAGCGTCGAAAAAAAGATAACAATTACACTGAAAAGTGAACTAGAGGAACCCCAAACCCGGTGTAGAAGGTAAACCAGAACATGGCTTCTTCACAGTATTGGATTAAATTTCGTTACTAGTAGAGTGCTTGTGAGACTGATCCATGATAAGACGAGATACCAGAGATTTTTGATTCAAAGACGGAAATTAAGAACACAATTCCTAAAAAGAAATTGAGAATGTTCAATTTCATGTACAGTCACCGACATAAGCCTGTTGCCCTCGAAGCTAACCTAATTTTAATAAGTTAGTTATCAAAATAATCAAATAACTACAAAAAAAGTTGTTGGCAAATGAACGATACCTCTTCGCCTAACAGCTTTCGATCTTGTTCTTCACGTTCACGTGCCGCATTGGTGAGCTGCTGTTCCAATTTTTCAAAATCCAAATTTGGAAGGCCTGAAACTCAGCTGACTCCCACAAGAAACTAATGGAATCGATTTCTAGAAAACATAAAAGAACAATATTATTACTAGTCAAAACTCTACCGGTATCAAGATTCTGTAGTTCCAAATTGATACTTTCACGTATTGCTGCCATGTTACTATTTTTGAGCATGAATGAGTCCATTGAAATGGAGCTCGGCGGTTGACGAAATAAAAGAAGATTTGAATATCTGAAAACTAGTATTTCATTACATGTTTAGGCCTAAAAAGAGCTAAGCAATGTATGGCCCGGAATAAACTACATTAAAATAAACAAAAGATGTAATCCTCACTGGAGTTATGTGCAAATAAGCACTCATTAGCATAACAATACTACCATGGGTGTTACATGCGCCTCAGGGCTTTAGACCCGAGTGTAAACTCCTGACGCTGGAACTCTTGGGATCCTCCTGTGATTGGGACAAGAAACATAATGCGGTATGGGGACTCCGTTTTCAGTACGAACCTTCCCAAACGTCTTTCAAGCGGGGGAGGTGGAGCGGGAAAATTCAACCATTGAAAAATGTTTAGAATTCAAGTTTACAACTAGTCCCCCATCTCAGCGACCAATCATGGACCTCCCAGGCGGATCCAATTGTGCGGAGCCGATCAAGAATGTTCCAGCGGTAGTTGGGTTGACCATATGAATAAGCAGAGTTCCAGGGTCCCACTTTTTGTTGGAATTTTTTCTTTTATTGACTGCAATTGGACTATAGTTTCTCCAGCGCAGGGGTACAATCTAGCGCATCTACGGGTTCCCAGAATTCTCCCGACATCGCCGCTGTACCGGCGTTTCTGCGCGTTTGAAAATGAGGTTGTTGACCTGGGAGCTTCCTTCCCTCCCCCTCCCCCCCTAGCGAACCGACCGCGTCTAGTTCTGCATGAAACATGTGTGACTCTTGGAGGTCACCTTCTTGGAGGAAATTAACCAAAAAAAAACTAAAAAAAACCAAGCCGGATCGACTTAAGGAGCTTAGGAATTCCCGCTTTCTATCACCCTCTTTTCTTCATTGGTATCCACTGGAACTTTGAGGGGAATTACGCAATTCCTTTTCTCTAGAACAAGAACGTCGCAGGTCAAACTTCGGCGTTGTTTTTATCCTGCAGTCTTAATCGCTACGGATGTTGGGGCATGTCAAGGAGGGCCCGGCTTGGCGCGACGCGTGCTTGGCCCCCACCAATTGCTCAACCGGGCAAACGACTACGACTGGTGGAAACTGGGCTGGTGTCGCATCAAAAGCAGCCACCTGACACCTCACACGCCCCAGCATCCGCAGCGAACGAGACTGTGCATATATTTTATAATGCCCGACAAATGGTACAAGTGTAATTTTTAATATTTGTCACTTTTATTGTGGCAGTCATAGATGCATTTTGGAAAGCCCGAAAGCAGTAATACGCAACGGCGAACTCTAGAACTAGGGCAATGGAATCCTTACGAAGAAGTAGAGAGGGGTTGTATTGAGGGGAGGTTTTCCATGTGGTCATGGCGTGCTTTTCCACAAACTCTATAAATGACAAACTTGTGTCAGACATCGCCAAGAATGTAATGGCTTACAACTTTATTTTAAAAACATTTGCCAGCATATTTAAAAGGATCTCAGGAAAACTTCATCAAGTATTCTCACCTGTTAGCCGATTCCTTATCAAACAACAGAGTTTTAGCTGAGGCGGTAGAGTTATTTGGTTCGCTGTCTAAACAATTAATTAATAGAATTAATTACAAAAAAATAATATTACTTTTATGACTGCTCAAGTTGAACTTTGTAATTCACATTTGGATAACATCCAACCAACAGTGCTAAATGAGGTCACAAAGAGGCAGAATTCGATGCAAAAAATTCAAAGCCTTTGCTGAGTCGCGCACATCATGGTTCGCTTCTTTGAAAACAGCTTACTTTTCACGACAATTTTTTAAACTCGCGCTGCAAGCAGCAATGGACAGAGTGATTATACAGCCCATATCTAAGGCAGGAAGGGGCGTGGTCGCGATTGCCGCGATGCCTGCAAGAGTCTTGGACTGAAAAAAGGTAGAGGCGTATGTGCAAGATAGGAGAGTCAGCGTGGAATACCCAGATGTACTGGCACCCTGGTCCAGAGGGCTACAGTCTTGTTCCCTGCGAACGCTGGGATATTTGAGGGGGGTGGGGCTGTGTTTGGCTCAGTGCCAGCAAGTTTTCCACCTATTGTGGTCGCCTGATGGCCTCTACCTGGTAGAGAACGTGTAGGCACCTCGCCAAGCTTAGCCCATCCGACACACCCTAGCGTCGGCAGCGAACCGGACTGTGATCAAAATCTCAACTTTAATTGGTCTCTCAAAAGACTCTCAATTTCAGAGGAATTTGCAGAATTTTTCAAAGAAAAAAATTATACCTCTTGAGCTGAATGACTCGCATGTAGTCTCCCGTGAATCCCGATCCATAATGGGTTTACTTGAGGTGGCCGCTTGTGGAGGATGGCTTGTTTCTGAAATGACACATTATTTTTGATCCACTATAGTGACGAGCTCTATGGCTGTAAGTAATTTTTCTAATTCTTCTCTGTCCATGGTGATGATGAATAATGCAAGCCAGCGAGTCAAGGGATGTTACCGCCCACCTTTTCGAGGCGACAATTCCTCGGGCGATACATCCGTGTCACGGATACTGCATGTACTTGACATCTCAAACGAATCTTCTGAGCATGAGGTGGAGCCAGAGCCACCATCGCCATCGGGGTCTTGACTACCTAAAATTTACTTGTAATTGTTAACAAATCTCAGAAATTGGACCTAATGAAGGTATCTTCCGGAGCTTACCTTGATGATTTTCTAGTGAAGATAGCGATTCAAGGCTTGACGAATTTGATTGCTGATTCTGCTCATCGTCAACCGAACGCAGCCGTAACAGCTTCACCACGTCCATACTACTACCCGCATAATTATTATTATGTTCTGAGAGCAGAATATCAGATAACGTCTGTAGTGTAGACGTTCTGGCCGGTGTCGTATTCATGTCGTACTCCTTGCTACAGACAGATTCCATCGTTGACACGCCGCTATCATCACGTACATCAGAAGTTAACGATGTTGATGCCGCCTTCGGCGTTGACGTCGCGGTTAGCAGGCCACTCACTGCAGTTGCACATCCGAAACTCGGTCCCTCCATCGACGACAGCGGTAATTCCGCCGGCTGGCGAGCCAACATCCCCTCAGAACTTCATCGGCGATCAATGCGCAACACGTTGTGGCAACCACCGGGACTAGACGAAGGGTACCAAGTAATAAAGTCTTTATCTGAAAATAAGGACATCATCAAGGAAAACGCTATTTAAAATCATTAGTAAGCCAACGATGGGATAGTAAAAGCCAGTGGCAGAGATCACGGCAATGAGAGAACAAACTCATAAAAAAGGAAAAAAAAACAAATTTGTAACGAGGATGAAAGAAATCAAGAACGTGCATTTCATTCTAAGGTAAGTAGAGGGTAAAGGATAGAGCTTCCACAGTCGATGCATTCCTTCTCGATATGCGCCACGCCCCCACTTTCATCTAAATCGCCTCCACTCATGAATGCGTCAGAGGCTATACAAGAACTTGCGAGCACCAGCCAGCGCCTCAGCCCGTGTATTGCTCTCTCAAATGAGTCTGACGCCAAATAACTAAGTCCAAGAGCCAACTTGCTCTGGTTTGATACTTGCCACCACACCTCCACCTTCACGGCTAAATTGTTATCAGGGGCATGACGTACAGTCTGGATTCCCCAGTAAGGCCTTTTCATGTGCGAAAGGGCCTATTCAATGACTTGTGAGCGCCAGCCAGCGACCAAGTCAGTGTTTTACTTTCCTACATGAGTCTGGCGCTTCACTGGGAGACACCTGAGAGTTAGTTCGCTCTTCTTTGAGATTTACGTCTATACCGCCTCCGTTCATGGTCAAGTTGTTACCAGGGCGCTTCGTACACTGGAAAGCCCAGCGAGGGTCGTATTTGGTCGGCTTACAAAGGAAGTCGTATTTTCATCTGAAAGGAATTCTCCGAGTTGTGAAGTAATTTTCCGGTTGTTGACTTTTCGCAGTTTTTCTCGTTTCGCATGCGCTACATGCCCGCTCCAGCTTGAAGGTAATTCCTAAGGAAAATCTGAAAAACTCTTTGGGATACTGAGAAAAGTATCACAAATTTGCAGAAAGCTCAGAGAGATGAGAGGTAAGATGGTGAAGGGAGTATAGAGAAGGAAATTTTTTCTGGGGGAGGGGGGAGGTCGCATTTTTCAAGAATTTTCTTCAGTGGCAGGAAGCAGCCTGATTGTTACACAAAAAAACTTAGTACTCTGTTTTAGGACATTCTTATGTAATACCATACAAGAATGATACCTAAAATCTGAAGTAGTAGACGCCTAGAAGTACGAGTCCTCGGCCTAGAAGGTTGGCGCCAGACACCATTTGTCATCTCTCGACGCCACGCGAGACTGCACTTTACTTCTTACTACTATTACGTTCAGGTTTGCCGTGATGGATCCGCTTTCTTTGGTCGTCGCTTCGAACAGTTCGCCTTTTGAGGGCCTGAGAATGGTTCGTGGCTCCCTATTTGAAGCCTAGATATTGCCGTTACGAGCTGGTCCTGAAACTTAGGCTCAACGGGACAACAGTACATCCACAGCTACTAAAATGGACAAGGTTTCAGGAAGACCATGAAATTCATTAAAATATGAGTGTATTGAAGATAGCAGTACAAAAACAAAGCTGGTTCATATAGCTTCTTTCCAAGACGAGCCTGGTAAATGAGATCAGAGTTTTTCTAAGGGAAAGCCTTCAACATGTTTTTTTACCCAGCAAGCCAATTCTCATATTAATTGAACCACACATCTACGTGCCGTTTGTACCAGTCTCTAAGGTGGCAAGCAAGATAATTGGATGGTGAGCATGAGGAATCGTCTATGAGCATCAGGCATGACCTCCGCTTTCGATCCTCCACGGAGAGTCTTATTTGGCTGCTGAAAGGAGAGGGGCGTGGACGTTTTGGTCTAAGACGAATTTTTCGATAGTTGATTTTTGTTGTTTTACGGGCGTTATTCACATAATTGGTAATACTCCAATGGGGGGGGGGTCTTTGCTGCGAATTCCGGCAAAAGCAGTGAGAAGCTTGAAAATGTTGCCAAAGTAGTAGGTAGGATGGGGGGTGGGGGCGCGTACCGAAGACGAAATTGTCGGGGATCGTACTTGCCGACAATTTTCTTCAGCGGCAGTACAAGCCCCAGTGAGCATACTTTCCAAAAAGCCTTGTCTACTATTTAGTAAGCTGTAAGATAGCCCCAAAATAGTCCTGAGGAAATAGAGCTGTCTTCAAAAGACGGTGCAATCTTCTGCGAAAAGAAAGGGAAATGAATGAGACCAGGACTTAACAGGTATCCGTGTAGGAGCTCAGTTTTCCCAGGACTAAAAGGGCTTCGTTTTCTCCCTTTGCTGAGAATCCCCTACGTCAAAACCACTTGCGTCAGAACAACTAAAAAGTAGAGAACTGGGCAAGGAAACCAGTAATGAAGATTACTAACACCTCAAACTTGTATTTGACGAAAAGTGTTCATATGAGTCATTTAAATGTCATGAATTGCCTATAAGGGACTGATATGGCCCCGTTTTTGTGTATGTCAGGAATTTTTGCTGAGTGTAACTGGTCTACGACAGAACAAAGAAAAAGGAGAGGAAGAACGTTACGATTTGCGATGTCTTCTCGTCGGGAATGAATCATTCCGTCGTTCGAAGACAAAAGAGCAAATCATCGGTGCGGTTTATTTCGTTTCGACTCAAGAGAAAACACTATCGCATCGTTTGCAGTACCAAAAAAAGTAGCGATACGCATTGAGATGGTCGAAATGTCAGCGGCGTTTCATGAGCCTCTTTCAGGTCATTACGCCCATCAACTAGGCGCCTACGAAGGCCTTTCAGTTACGGTACATTGCCATCTGAATGTCAGTCAAAGAGACATAGTTAGCCAAGAATTCCTGACGCGGCTCGGCTTGGGAGGGGCATTTTTCACTCTCCGTAGTACCTTTTGCTGTTGTCATTTCGTAGGGAAGTTGCAAAATGGTACAAGTAAGGCGCCTTGGTTACTAAAATCTACATGCCTACACAAGGCAGCCTGTACGAGCAACAGAGTGCTGGCTCGGATCCTCTTCAAGCCGAGCTGCGCCAGATTTCTCAATCGTAAAAAGAAAGGGGATCGTATTTGGATCACTCGAACTGGTCTACATGAGTGAGAAGGGTTGCAGCGATTTTGAGGCAGGTACGAGATCAGCGCTTGACGGCAACCAGTCTTCGGGGAGTGTGGAGAGAAGCTCTGGGGAGGGCATATCATTGATGTGGAAATCACAGTGGTTATCGCAACGGGCCGCAGGGAAAGGATCGCATATTTCACCTCAAGAGATTACCTACAATTATCATTTTTTCCCGTTTCGAGCACGCAACATTCAGCATACTTTCCAGTTCGCTGCGAATGAAGGGGCGTGTCAGGCAGGATGAGTGTGCCACGGCGCAAACCCGTTCTTTGCCAGTTGTTGAAGCGGATATGCGACAACAACTGGTAGAAACGAGTGACACGAACGATATTATACGGTCTTTTATTTGCTCACTTCAACAACTGGTGTAGAGACGGTTTGGAACTGCGCCAAACTCATCCCCCTGACGGCGCCCATAGTTCGCAGCCGATAAGACCATACCACCCCCCAACTCGCCCCTTTACGGCAATATTCATGGGATGTCTGTTAAAATTGGTAGTACCGTCAGAAATATTACTTTGCGGGAATATCTCACAACGCGATGACGTGCATTGGCGGCGGAGGGGGTCTTATCGGAAGATAGTCAGCCTTATTCTCAACGCCAAGGAGTGTCCTGACTCAGTCAAAACAACGAATTTGAGCACTAAGGCAAGATATTTCCCATTGTTATTTTCCGTCTAAGGGCACGCACCAACGGGAACACCTCTCAATGGGCCAGGATATTTTCCCGCGTGGGGAAATTCTATCGAAATACAACTTCGCCCTAACATATTGCCTTGTTTCCCACCAAATTACCCCGAAATTTTG